AGCGAGCACTCATCTCTACAATAAATCAAAAAATCAGCCGGGCGTGGTAGCGCATGCCTGTAATTCCGGCTACTCGAAAGGCTGAGGCGGAAGAATCACCGGAGCCCAGCAGGTCGAGGCTGCGGTGGCCGGGAGCGGCCACTGCACTCCAGTCTGGGCGACAGAGTGAGACTCCAACTCAAATAAAATAAAATAAAATAAAAGTAACAGACAAGGGAGATTTTTTTAAAAACTGGAATTTATTTATTTAAAATTGTGTATTTATTCTTACATGTTTAAACTTCAGTCACCTTTGAAATACTCTGTTTGATGCAACACACCTATCAAGACACTTTCTCTGCTCAAAACAGGTTTTGAACTCAACAATTCTGATGACTTTTAGTACTTCTGCCTTTTGTTTGTTTCACTTCTCCTTCAAAAACTTTTTTCATCCAGGGACACACAAAAAAAGTCACTCAGAGTACAGGGGTCATGCCGTTTTGGTCAAAAACTGCTGAACACTAAGCGCAGTGTGGGCAGGTGCACTCATAAATCACCTATAATGAAATCAGCAAACACACTGAAAGAACCTCCAAAAGAAATTTGCTGAAGCCAAACGCAGCTTCTCACAGCAACACTAGCCAGTACACTAATATCGATAAGTTCCTAGAACACTTACTTATCAGGGAAAGCCTGTATTACAAGGGGCCTGCCCTCCAAAAAACAATTCCAGGTTTTTTTAATCCCTCATATATACACACAAAACAAAGCACTAACAAATGTCACGCCCCATTGTAAACACTCTATTTTTATTCTCATAACAATCCTATATCATAGGTACTATTAATATTTCCATTTTACAGATGAGGAGATTAAGGCACAGGGAAGTAACTTGCCAGCAGATACACAAGTGTCAAGAAACAGAACTGGGGTTGAAATACAGCTACTCTGGCTCCAGCATCTTTATCTTGACCATATGTTATTCTGCCTTCACTGTTCAGGAAGTATGCATCCTACTCATGAAGCCAGAGTTTCTGACCTAGAACAGCACATCTCACCTGAGCAAAAAATCCTTTCCGACTCCGCCTGGCAATCAGCAGTCTCTTCCACAAAAGGGCCACAAACTGTTGCTGTGTGAGTTTCCAGCCCTTCACCTGGTAGGAGCCTTTGCCATCCACTCCACTGAGCAAGTCTGTCTCTCTGGATTCTGCAAGAAGCCAACATTGAGGATCACCTTTTATCTTATGTATTTTTGACATCGTCATGCTCCTTCCTCTGGCATCATCAGCAACCATCTTGGGAGACTTGTGTTTGAAGCTTAAAGCATCTCAGAGTAAAAGTAAAGGCCTTTCATGACAAGTCTATATACAAGAAAAAGTTAACACTCAAAATGCCCATCACTAGCAGTCTCTGACTTTCAGTCCTTGTCTAGTGAGTGGAGAAAATGCAGGTACCTTGAGACAACTGAGGAGACACGTTCACAAGTAACTGGTTTTTATAGCAAGCCATTAAGATAAATCAAGTCATCACCAATTTCTTATAGAATGGTCTAAGAAACAGACCATGTACATAGGCTGACATACCTGAGAATACACAATGGCAATTCCTTTACCATCTATTGTATTTTGGTAAAAAGTGGTCATATTTTAGCCAGGCTCGGTGGCTCAGCCTGTAATCCCGCGCCTTTGGGAGGCTGAGGTGAGTGGATTGCCTGAGCCCACGGGTTCGAGACCCGCCTGGGCAACTTGATAAGACTTCATCTCCACAATAAATCAAAAATGAGCCGGGCGTGGTAGCGCGCGCCTGTAGTTCCAGCTACGTGGAAGGCTGAGGCGGAAGGATCGCCGGAGCCCAGCAGGTCAAGGCTGTGGTGGCCGGGAGCAGCCACTGCACTCCAGTCTGGGCGACTGAGTGAGACTCCATCTCAAAAAAAAAAAAGTGGCCGTATTTCAAATGATCTAAGTATTGATAATGTATGAAATCAGGGAGAACACAAGAGCCATACACCCATGTGACCAGGGATGGGAAAACCAAAAAGTTTTCAGTTCCTAAAAATGGTATAGAAATCCTTGTCTTAAACTAATGATTCCTAACTGAAGTGCTTTGACATCTTACCAATATTGTTTGATTTTTTTACCTCCCTATCCATCTCAGTTAAACACACAAGGACATACTCATTCAAAATAGTTAAGTCATATAGTACAATTAACTCTAAAAACAAATCCCCCTTTCTGACTCTTTAAAAACCATTCATCCATTCAATAAATATTTATTTGACATTTAAGTACCTAATGCATGCCAAAAACTGGGACCCTACAGAAAAGATAACAAATAAATGGGTTCAGAGGACTGAGGCACCATCTCAAGTGTATCTTGAGAGAAAGATCTCAGCTAAATAAAGGAAGTAATGAGGATGGCCTCTTTCAGGTTTGACCATATGCACAATGCTGGGAAAGGAAAAATGGCTTTTCTCATTTTCTAACTACCCTTTGGACTTGATAGGGATCTAGCCAAGTCATCAAAAGAAAACAGCTGAGAAGAACATAAGAGAAAAATTCACATTCAAACAATGAAACGCTGATCTTGCCCAAACAGACCTGGGTCAATGTCAGAATCATTTGGATCAATAGCATCGTCCTCAGTGAATGGGCGAAGACAGCTCTGCTTGTCTCCAAAGGCCCGCCGGTTTCTTCTTGCTGGCAAGGTTCCATCTGAAGACAAAAGGAAGGAATCTCAACATTTTATTTGCAACAAAACAAACCTCCATCTGTAACAAACCTATACACTAAAGAGGAGAATGCAATAGAACAATTCCAAGGGAAAAGTACAACACTAGTAATCTAAAACAGCCCTGCAGCAGGCACTATCCAGAACGTGCCATCCCCTTAAGAGGGTTACCTGAGGTTTCCGCGTCTACCCCACTCTCTTCAGCCACTTTGAGGAATATCTGAAAAATAAGAGCAATTGAGAACATAATAAGCATCAGCATTATGAGAGTAGCCATCACTACCATGATTATTACATTACTGAGTGGCATGTTAGCCCCTCAAGACAGAGAAAAGTGGAAACCACATTTATTAATAACACTTTGTCAGAGTCACTTGGGAGAGAAGTCCTTTTTGCCAGAGAACATTTCCTCAGTAGTGAGAGTTATCAATCCAGACAATCATTTTCAAATTAAAGCTATGACATTAGGACACTGCAGTGGAAGAAATTTGTTCTGAACCTACAGGGAATGAGTCAAGCGGCTTCTTTCAGGTCTGCGGCTCTAAACCCTTGAGTAGACTAGCACTGTGATAAGTTATCCAAGACAGACTGATAAGGAGGAAATGAATTCCCCATCACTAGAAATATTACGGCAGAGATTCAAACATGAATGAGATCAATGATCTCCAAACTCTGGTCTACAAACCACTATGTAGGAAGCATACAAGGTCTTACCACCAAAAATTCTGATTCTCAGGTCCTGAACCCAAGTCTTCGAATTTTTTATTATTAGTAATAGCCCCAGATGATTCTGCTGCACAGTCAAGCTTTGGGACCACTGGGATAGACAACTTTTCTATGCTTTTCACCCTTCCCTAAATGTTTAAAGAAAGCTTATCTTCAGTAGAGGGTTAATCAAACAGTTCATAGAAACAGAAGTCTTCCTAGAAACATCTAACTGCTAGGACTGGTCAGAGGTGACCAGAGTCAAAACTTCTGTTCCATATATGCTACTGGTTGTCTCTGAAGGGAGGTGGTACATGGATGAAGAAAACATGGGCTTTGAAGCCCTAAACCCCTGATTCTGAGTCCCAGCCTAGCGTTAACTGTCATTTTTTTTTTTCATCTTGTTATGAGGCTTAAATGAGGTTATAATAGTTTTTTTAAATACCAATATCAGCACCTGGCACAGACAGACTATCCATAAATGTCATTTTCTATGCATGAAAGTCCAGTTGACAGCTGGCCATGACAGAGTTACACGAGGGTACAATCTTAGTATTTCTTTCCTGCTATCTCCCACTACAATCTTGAATGGCTAACTGGGGCTGACAATACCCACATGTTAGCAACCTTAAAAACTTAATTATTATCTCCATAATAATCCTGTCCCCAATGTGGGCTGCATATCTGGCCTTAGGATTGTTGGTTCTGCTATATTCTGTCAGTCATCCACCTAACTTACTTCTTCCAGGGTAGTCTCTGAGATGCCATAACTAGAGATGCCCAGGTCTGAGAGCCGATCATCAATCTCATGGAAGAGTTCCACAAAGGCCCCCTCTTTAGCAGCTTCATACGGCAACACGTAGGTCAGTTCATGCCCAATGTCTTCTACCAGTCGGGCTTCAGACACATGCTTTCTGATGAGGTTGGAGATAGCGGAGACATCTGCAGGGACCAGAGTGCAAAGACGGTTCAGTCAGCTCAGAGACTCCATAGTAAGAGCTGGCCATCTCCCACCTTCTCCCTTTTCCTACTCCTCAGAAGCCTGCTGCTCATACTGCACACCTGTCCCAGATGCTTTATTCCACATGTTCATCTCTGACCTGAGAGTTCTGGGGGACATGGAGGAAGACTATGTCTTATTTATCTTTGTTTCACCAAAGCTAGGCACATTGTAGGTACTCAATGCAGGATAGATGGATGACTTTCTGAGGTTGAAAGCCTAGTGTCTATTGCCTAAATTCTAGGATTCTTCAATAGAAAACTTAAGTAAAGGAATCTTACAAGATTCTTCACACTTCTCTAAATGTTTAAAGGAAGCCCCCTCATTTATCTCAATAGAGTCAGTCAAACAATTCGTGAAAATAGAAGTCTTCCTGGGACTTCCAACTGCTAGGACTGGGCAGAGATGGCCAGGGTCAAGACTTCTGTTCCATACATGCTACTAGTGACACTGGCCTCCTACAAACAATGCCTGAGGAAAACTTAGAAGGCCGTTTCTGATCTCCTGGGCTCTCACCCTCCTTATACACTGAACTTAAATCCCTCCCCATTGGTTTGGCTTTCAGCTCCTCAACCCTGGTATCTAGTGTCTAGGCAGATCCATTTCCTTGAGGGATTTCCCAAACCCCAATCATCTTAATTCTCTGGAATTCTGCCCTGCCAGCTCCCAAACCAAGCCCCAGGTTTCCCAGCAAGCATGAGGTCAACCCGCCACCAAGCTGCACCCACCCCTGCAGCCACCCAGCCCCAGCCCAGCAGCAAACCTTGAGTCAGCGCCACCAGCCTCTGCACCTCTCCTCCTCTGCCTCCACTCTGCCCAGCTGGGGGAAGCTCAGGCACCACCTGAATAAGAAACCCCAGAGTGTCCTTACCGATGGTCAGCGTGTCACTCTCATGGTCGCTGCCCAGGCCAGCATCAGAACTGCTCTGAGAAACACTGTCCTCCTGATGGCAAAGAAGGAGGTGAGAACGGGTCAGGGACCGAGCAAGCTACAGCCACCACCACCTTCTTGGGGAGGGCTTCCAAGAAGCTCTGTTGTGTCAAAATTTAAGCAAAAAGTTGTTCCTGGGATGCATGCAAATGGCAGCCATGGCTTCAGAGACCACTGTCTAATGTGTGTACCACATGGACAGCCTCACTTCCTGGGGATAAGAGGCTGGGAAGCAGAGGCATCAACAGAATGCTGCAACCAGGAATTTGTCAACTGTCTCAGGCATGGGCTTTACCTGCTACTTGTCTATTTCAATGCTTCTCAAGCTTTCATGTATGCTCAGTCAGTTGGGGACCCTGTTAAAATGCACATTCTGATTCAGTAGGTCCAAGTTGGGCCCAAGTTGCTGCATTTCTAACAGGTTCCCCATTGAAACTGATGCTGCTGATCCTCAACCACACTTGAGTAAGGAGGCTCTAGTTAAAAGCTAAGTCAGTGGATAGAAGTCCAAGGTTGGGGTATAAATGCATCGGGTGTCTCTGGTTTCAAAACACAGATAAATCTCGGGCATGTACTGTGGTACAAAGGGAAGCATACCTGGTTACTGGGTCTGGTCCCTCCTCTGTTATTTGCCTGCTGGGAGACCTTGAATAAGCTACCAGAGCCTCACTTCCCTCACCTAAGATAATAACTATAATACCTTCTTCCCAGAATCTCTCTGCACTTTGAGATGATAGATGTTTAAAAAAATAGTTTTTAAATGGAAAAAAATACTATAAAAAAGTTTATTTATGCCCAGAGTCTGTCTAGCATGAAATCAGTGCTTAATAAATATTTGCTGTTTTTTAGTTTAAAAATTAAGGTCAAAAGATTGAAAGGTAATGTGCAGGAACAGCAGGTCATGTGTGGCCAAGGCTCTGACCTCTTGACAAATTTCTTTTCTTTGACACAACAGTGTCCTCCAAGGACCTTCTCCATCACTCATCATACCCCATAGGAAAAAAGGAAATGAGATTCAGCAGAACTAGTACATTGGAAACAGAGGTCTTCTGGGGTTTCCCTGTGTGAGGTATAATATGACTTCAAAGGAATCACAGAGCAGGGAGATGGTGGCCTCAATGTGGCAAAAGGGTAGAGGTGGACAAGCCATTCAGAGCCAACAAGTCCTGACTGCCCGGATCTAGCACCAACCCAGCACTGAGACTGCAGCTCACCTTTTTCAGGTATGACACAGTGCTGCTGCTATTTCTGCAGGAACTGAGGGAGGATTCCACATCTTTCTTGACCAGGGTCAGGTAGTAGCCTGTTCCCAGCTGGTTCTTTAGAAACAGGGAGGAGCCCACACAGCACAGCTTCCCATGGGAAATGATGGCAATCCTGTCCCCCAGGATGTCTGCTTCATCCATGTGGTGTGTGGAGAGAATAATGGTGCGGCCTGCCAGGCACAAACACAAGGATATGGGACAGCGAGATCTGTCAGTTCTCACTGATGATAGTGGCAAGGACTACAGAGATATTAACAGAGATAAGCATGGGAAAGAATCCTGAAAGCCACCTTCAGCCCTGTGTGGTTATGATCCCTAGAATAACAAAACATTGGGTACAGTCACTGCATCCTCAGAGACATAAGAACAGCATTTATTTGGGAACTTGTTCCATGTCCAGCATTATGCTAGGTGGTTTACCTGCACTCTCACTTAACTTAATCCTCTACAAAGTAAGCACCACAATTATTATAGGTAAGGAAACTAAGGCAAGACTTGCTCAAACTCTTAGGGCCAACTGGAGCTGACTCCAAAGCCGGTGCTTCTCCTACTGTACCACAACATATCTCTAAGCAGACTGCTAGTCCTGGTCCTGCCCCTCTCCTACTCTACTCATGAATTCATTCACTCTTTCAACAAACATAAAATTAGTATACCATGCTGGGAACTCAAAAATCTCCAAAAACATGGCCTCTGCTCTCAGGAATCTCACTCTATAGGGGAACATAATTACATGTATAAGCTCTATGTCAGAGGTAGCACTGGGGGCTTTGGGGACACAGAAGAGATGCCCTTTATCCCCCTTTCTCTTCTTCTTGCAGGCCTCTAGGTAATGAAGTACAAGCTTTAAGTGTCTTGTAAGACAGGCCTCCCACCCCCATACCATGAGTGAGCACTGAGCTTTAAGAAAAGAAGTTCCATATTTTCCTTGAGAAGTAATTCTGCATACCCTAACAAAAACAGCCAAGAGATACAATCATACTCTCAAGAGCACTCCTCTCTTTCCCAGTTCATGACGCAGAATAAATACACATCAGTCACCTTGTCGGTATTTCAGCAGCAGCTCCCATATTCCCCTCCGGGAGTAAGGGTCCACCCCAGCTGTGGGTTCATCCAGAATGACAACCTTGGATCCCCCCACAAAGGCCAAGGCCACAGACAGCTTTCTCTGCATTCCACCTACAAGAAACAGAGAGAGAGACAAACTCCAGGAACAACCCCAGATGGTGAACAAAGGCAAAAGTCTGGAGACACAGCCAGGTAGACGTTTCTGCTACCCACCCATCCAGCCTGGGACTTGGGTAGCTGTTGATTTTCCTCTGCGTGTGTAGTTGGAGGGATGGACAAGGTAGCACTGGGCCTCACCTGACAGCTGGCTTGTTTTGCTTTTCAGTTTGCTAGGTGGCAAACCAACATCCAGGGCCATCTGTTCCATCTCTGCTTTCACATGTGTCTCTGAGAGCCCTTTCAGACGGGCATAGAACCAGATATGCTCTTCAACAGTCAGCCTGGGAAGAGAGGGACAGGTCAGCTCCGGGCCCTACAAGATGCACCAGAGTATAATGTCTCCTGAGCCAGAACAGAAGAGAATGGGTACATTTTTCTTCCCCCTCCTTTTTAACTTTGTGAATTTCTGAAAAATAGTTTTCAGGATTCAAGGTAGAATAACAGTGAGTGACCACACAAGCTGTTCAGGAAATCAAAGCTGAAATGTGACAAATCCCTTCCAAACTTATTCCCAGCAGTCCTGACCACCAAGCACCAGGCAGCTGCAGCTTTAAATTTCAGGCCCCCAAGATGTGGGCCCCCAAGATGTGGTCTTCAAAGGACTCTCCCCACGGCTTCATTAACCAAGACGTCATCTTAGCATTAGCCTGGGGCAGTCCTGAACCTCAAAGGACCTCAGACTCTGAGAGTAGAGAGGCCCTTGGGGAGCATATGAGCCCCCAAATAACTTGTGGCCCATAATGGGGAAAGGCCTTGACCAAGGTCACAGAACTCAGGTCTTTCTCTGCTCTACCACAAAGGTTCCCTGGCAGAGCCCTAATGATGGTGGAACAACCTGAGTGAGAGCAGATGTCTTGAGTGGAAAACACAGGGCCATCGTCGCACTTTCAGTTCTGGGCAGTGTGTACCAGGTCTCAGGGAGGAGCATGGTGGGGGAAGGATGGGCTGAAAGGTCCTCCAGAATGACAATAACAGAGAGCACTGTTTCCCAATCCCCATCCACTGGCTGGACTGATGTAACATCCCACTCAACAATTTACCTCCCACTTCTCCTAAAAACAAAAGACAACGAGGTCTCAATATGTCCAGGGAGATAAGCCTGCCACCCACAGAGAAAGTAAAATGCTCAAGTCTCTCTCCTCCCAAGACTCCGTGACACACCCACCCAGAAAGGGCCTGTTCTCAATGTGCCGCTGGTACTCACATGTCAAAGAGCACGTTATGCTGGGGACAGACTCCCAGGTTCTGCCGGATGGTGCTCATCTCAGAGCGAATGTCTTTCCCCAGGATGTAGGCAGTGCCCGAGGTGGGAGGAAACAGCCCAGTCAGGATTGACCTGAGGACAAAAATTTAAATGCACAGGAGTTCGACATGACTCACCCTTAACTCTAGATGCTGTATTCAGGCTGCAGATAGAGTAAAAGGTATGACATCCTCCCGCAACCCTTTCATTCCTTTCTAATGGACCCTAATAAACCCCCAAAGTACAGAAGTCTTTTGCTTTAGTAACTAATTAGAATTGGACCTATGTGTTGGAAGTGGCAATTTTGTGTATTTTTAAAATGAAGTTTCTAATCTGCAATGGAAAAGTGTACTTTAAAACATATTTTGTATGCCTAGCACCACATCCATGAAAAATGGACAGCCAGAACATACTGTTCAAAGATAAAAATTTTTGTGTTGATTGGTAGGATTTCTAAGTGCCTTTTTAAAAAATTTGCTGCAATGTTCATAATACATTGGTTTTATATTTACAAAAGAAGATAAAAGAAAAATAGGATCACTCCCAAAGATACACTCAGGAAAGGTTGAAGAACCACATTGAAAGCCTTTGAGGAAGCCAGACTCGGTGGCTCAGCCTGTAATCCCGCGCCTTTGGGAGGCTGAGGTGAGTGGATTGCCTGAGCCCACGGGTTCATGACCCGCCTGGGCAGCGAGACCTCATCTCTACAATAAATCAAAAAATCAGCCGGGCTTGGTAGCGCATGCCTATAATTCGGCTACTGGGAAGGCTGAGGCGGAAGGATCGCCGGACCCCAGCAGGTCGAGGCTTCCGGTCACCGCACTCCAGTCTGGGGGACAGAGTGAGACTCCAACTCAAAAAAAAAAAAAGAAAGCCTTTGAGGCTAACGCTGGTGTTTGTATAGCCCTTGCTCCCTTCGATGCTATCCATTGTAAGGTACTTGAAGTCACAGGGAAGGCAGTCAAGCCAGCTGCCTTTCATATCTACTTGGAGACAGAGTTCCTGGAAATCACTATCTCCCTCCAACATATCTAATCTTTCTTTCTGGTTTCTTGTTTTACAGTTTTGACCAAACCAGCTCCAAAGGAGACCCTTTCTCAGGGCTGCCATGACCTCATGTTCAAAGACCACTGCAAAATTCTAAGAACTACAGCCCCAGCCTGTTATAGGCTAAAGAAATACTATCTAAGAAACTACCACATAGAAAGTACTCTCATGATTAGATAATATTATCACACTCATCAACTCCTCATGTGCTTCTGCCCTTGCCCCAGTGACCAGTGCAATTTCGTAGGTAGGAATTTCTAACTACACAGTAGAACCTATCTATGGCTGATTCTATGAGAGCCACACCCTCTTCTTACATGGTAGTTGTCTTCCCTGCTCCATTGTGGCCCAAGAAGGAGGTGATCTGGCCCTCATAAAAATTCAGTGCCAAGCCATCGACAGCCACCTTCATGCCATCTCGGTAAACTTTTACCAGGTTCTGAATGGACACGCCCAGCTTCAGGTGGGTGGGTTCCTCCTCCATGCAGACTGTGAGAAGAGAGAAGACAGGAATGAACCTACAGAAAGTACTGATGAATGGAATGTAAAGACACAGAGTGCTGTGCCTGTACTTTCAGAACTGTCTTCTTGCCATGGCCACCCGGGATTCACAGGCAGGAGGGAGGCTATCAACATTTATTAGAGCCTATTTTGACACTGGTGTTGGTGATAGAAATACAAACGATAAAGAAGCCTTCACAGTCAACTGGGAGAGAAAGACTTGACAAGCTGTTAAAATACAGGATGCTAAGAACTATTTTAAAAATGCAATTGTGAATATTTTAATTTAAAAACACTTAACTGACAAATAAAGACTGTATATCTACATAATTTCAAAAATCTAAAAATGCCATGGAACTATGCTACACCCGTACCATGGAATACTACTCAGCAATGAAGGGGGATAAACTGTTGATACATACTACAACTTGGATAAATCTCAAGGGATTTATGGCTGAGTGAAAGAAAGCCACTATCAAAAGGTTACCTACTGTATGGTTTACTTACATAACATTCTGGAAATAATAAAACTGTAAAAGTGAGGAACAGATTAGTGTATGAGGGGTGTCAGGAACTAAGGAAGAAGGGAGATGGCTGTGGCTATAAAGGGGTAGCATGAAGCAGCTTTGTGGTGACGGGATGATTCTGCAGCTTGATTGAGTTAGTGATTACACAAATCTACAAATGATAAAACTGCACAGAACTAAATACAAACACGAGTGAGCACTTGTAATCTCACGGAAGAAGGTATGAATGACACCATTGTCAATTTCATGGTTCTGCTATTGTACTATAGTTACACATGGTGCTACCATTGGGGGAAACTGGATAAAAGGTACAATGGAACTATCTACAGTTTTGTGGGTTTTTTGGGTTTTGTTTTGTTTTTGCAACTTCTTGTAAGTCTATAATTATTTTAAAATAAAAAGTTTTGGTTTTTTTTAACATGTCATGGTAGCTCAGGGGAAGGATTGACTAACTACCTGAGAATCGTGGAGGGCTACTCAGGGGAAGGGATATTGAACTAGACCTTGAAGAGCAGGAAAGAGTTTAAAAGCCAGGCAAGTTAGAAAGAAGGTACTCCTGTGAGAGAAAACAGTACAAACATGGAGGTGTGGAAGAACATGACATATTCCAGCAACCATGAGCAGTTCAAGGTGATGAAAACAGGAGCTAGGTGTAGAAAGGAGGTAAAGGAAGATGAGAACAGCAGGAGAAGCAGCTGGAACAGTGGGCAAATGGGCTACACTAAGGAGAATTACACTTTTATCACTAGCAACGGGGGAAAGAACACAGAAGAAATCTGCAGAAAAGGATCTATGAACTACTTAGAAAGAAAGGGACACTGAACACAAATAACCTCAACAAAGACCCTGGAAGGCAGAGACTTTGCTGAACTGTGGGTATCTCTGCCTGTGGTCAAGAGTCAAGACAGGGTTAGAGCTCTGGGGAATGAAGGGTGAAAACATTAAGAGTCAAGGCCTGAGCTCTGTGGTGGCCACTTGGTGTCAGCCGGCACAGACTCACATAGCCCACCATGACAAGGCAGGCAGGAAAGCTATGGCTCCAAATCACAATTTCTTTACCTCTTTCTTCTAGCCTATTAGGATAGCACAAAAAGTATTTATGGGAGAGAGGAGGCAAAAGCATAAAGATAAAAGATACTTTTCTAGAAGCCAAGAAAACAAAGGAAATGTCCCTCGGGGTCCCAGACAGTGACTCCCAATAAGTCAATAGCATTGAACACAAATGGCATGAGAGAATTTGGAAAGAGGCGCTGCATATAATTTCTCTACCCCTAGGGTGGTTTTGGTGTCTTTTAAAGAGCAGGAGCCATCATTTGCCAGAGTCAGTCAGCAAGAGCAGCAGCAGCATTAGGAGAAGGAAAGGGTAGGAGGACAGCAGCACTTACTTTCTGATATTCCTTTCTGGCTGGAACCAGGGTGGCTCTTCTCATCACTTTTCTCACCAAACCAGTAGGACTTGGTGCAAGGAAAATACCAGGCCCTGGGAATTCCATACTGGCCTGAAAACAAAGCACAGGTGTGAGTCAAGATCACTGCCTTCCCAGCATTCCCGGTGTTTCCCAGTCAGGCCCATTCATCCTTGGCACACCCTTTGGAGAAGGAACAGATTGGAATGGAGGTAGGAAAAGAAGGAGTTCACATTTGCTGAAACCTACTATGTACAACATACATTTTGCACCTCTCCAAGTCCTCCCAACAACCCACCCCAGCAGGCATCATCCCCACTTAAGAGTTGAGTAAACTGAGGGATAAGTTGCCTACCCAAACTAGTAAGTTAAGGACTGGAATTTGAATCCAGAATCTGTATAATACAAAATTGCATATTCAGCAACTGACATTCAGGTAGAGGTAATAGATATTTCATGCATGCCTCCTCAGAGGAAAATCAGAGGACAAACCCAATAGAGTGAAACCTTGTCCTTGCAGAATTTGATCTTATATGACAGTTTTTCCCAAGGCAGGTTTCTACTGGACTTGGTCAAGAAGATTTAATAAGAGAAATAACAAAATGAATTTGTGTTGAATGCTAATTTAGTTAAATCACAGACAGGCTTAGAGTTAATATATTTCATTATTAACAATCTGTACCCAGAAAACAGAACCTCTCCTTAGTTGTGCCCCCTCTGGGAACATAGAAATATAAAACTGGGTCTTCACTGGGAAGATTCTCTGGGGCTTAGCGACCCAATGTAACAGAATTGGGTTCACCTTCATATACCAACACTTGCCAGCTGTGTGACCACAGGTACATTGCTTAACTTATTTGAATCATGGTTATCTCATTTGGTTATTACAAGTAAGTAATAGCCTTGTGAGCATCAAATGAACCAAGATATATAAAACACTTCACATGGTGCCTGGCACACAGTTTTCAAGAAATGAGTGCTATACAAGTGGTGATGATTGTTTCTCAGCACCAGCTGCCTCTCCTCAGACTGTTTGTTTGCGGATCTAAAGGCCAAGCCACTTCCCCAGGGAACCCTACGCCCTGCAGAAATCCCAGCACAAAGAAAGGAAAGCGCAGCAACTCAAAATCATATTTCCCTAGCAGATGGCCACAGCAGTGTACCTGGAAAGACAGCCTCGATGTACCAGGTCATCACCCCATAGAGGAAGGCATCAAACAGCATCATGGAGACTGATGTGGTGAGATTGAAGCCATCTTCCTCCACAGGACTCTCAAACAGGTTGTCCCACTGCACCCCAATGCCCTGCTCCTCAAAAAGGGCAAAGTACTCACAGCCAAACCCAAAAGCCACAGGAGACAGCAGGCTCTGTGAGAAAGAGGCAAAAGTCACATCTGTTTCCCCGTCGCTCTCTCACTTTTCTATCGCTTCTAATGTAAATTATACCTGGAGAAATTTGAATTTGTGAAATGGATCAAATATAGAATGTGGAAGTAGTAACCACCTAAAAGTTCCTTTCGAGGTGTGGGGACCCTTATAGCAAATAAAATGACTCTATTGGTAACCACTCATTATGCACACAAATTTCAGAAATGCATGTATGATCGAACATAAAATTTTTATAATTATATGTTGCCAAAGGTGCCTCAAGGCTCAGAAATCCTGCCCCCCGCCACACACAAACACACACACACATCAAGGTCCTCTCAGGCTTCCTGCTCAGCCAAGGATGACTCAGGATCAAAAGATCCTGTCTGGGGCAGCTGATGCCTACAGGGCCCAGACCGAGCATCGATGCATCTATTGAGTGACTGTTATAGCTTTCATTATAATTAACCCAGGAGACATCTGGCAACTTGCTCTTGTAGGGGCTCACACACTCTCCAAGGCTTCTCCTACTCTGTACAGAAAAAGAAGTGTCCAAATCTGGAATTTGTGGGGAAAATGGGGCACTTGCTCCTCAGTCTTGCTCAGTTCAGATATATCACTCAAGCGAAACACCATACTGGACACAGGAAGACAAGAGTCTAGAGGGAGCCATCTCCCACCTCAAGAGTTTTCAATTCTATCCATGGCCTTGACTTTGTGGCAGGTTTAACAGCCAACAGAACTGGGAGATAAAGGGTGGAGATGGCATTGATTGCCTAAAGCCAATCCCTAATGCCAGGTTCAAGATGCAATCTGACCCTCTGAAAAATGGCATTCGAGTCAACTAGCATTCATTGAGAGGACTAAAGGCAAAAAATAAGACACAATCTCTGCCTTCAAATAGCTTAGAACCTAGAACTTTGGCTCAAGTCCGACTGGAAACAGGCTCTCATCTTCTGTTCTCAACTTGCTGGTTCTATTCTAGGACTACAAGGGATGAAATGCCTGCAGTGGCCATGATAGCAGCTGCTGCAGAAGGGCCAGAGGTACTCACAGCGAAGATCTGGAGTGTGAAGCCCACATAGTCCTGCCATGCCACACACAGGACATAGGGCAGGTACAGCGTGAAATAGATGATGCCCCCACAGGCTGCCGCCAAGTTGGCTCTGGAGAAGAGTGTGCTGATCAGGAAGCACTGCAGGATGGTCACCACAGCAAACACAGACAGGAAGACAAACACCACGCCGGGGTCACTGTAGGGAAGCAGGTTTCCTAACTGGGAAGAAGGAGACCCATTAAATGTGCTGCCTCGACAATCCCAAGCACTCACTTGTATGATCTAGGAGGAAAGACAGGGTTTACGCATCCTCATCTTAGAGATAATGCAAGGAAATATTGCTATTTATTTTTCTGATGAGATTGATCATCCTTATCCTAGAGAAGAGAAATGACTTGCCCAAGACAACACAGAAAAATAATGGCAGCGTTAAGAACCAGAACAGAGTCCACGGCTTTCTATTCCATCTCAGTTGGCAATTTTGCTCTGTTTCTCCAATATGTAATATTAACTGGCTTCTCCTTTTATAAGAGCTATGACTATTGGCACCGAGAAAGGGCTGTACGAGATAATGTCCCACATGACTTCTTTTATCCAAGGGCAAGGAAAATGGCAGGCAACCTTAATTTTCCCCTTGATATCCGTGGACTGTGTATTCCCACAATCTTTCAAAGTCTTGTAAATATTCTAAGTTTAACTCTGGACAATGGGTATATTTCCATGGGACCCACCAGTCGTGGGACCACCACACCTACCACAGAACTTGGCCCCTTGCAGTTGAATATTAGAACAGGATGGGGGATTTGCTTTTAGCAAGAACTACATCCTGCTGAATAACCCCAGGAAAGTCCTTGACCTTCCTTAGCCTCATTTCCTTGTATGTTAAAAGGGTCATTTTATGAAGATAGAATAAGGCAGTCCATGTGATGTGCTTTAAATGAGTTTGGCAACTCGAAAGTACTCATTTGTAACAGATGGTAGCTAGTATTAAATTAAGTGATAGTTCCTATCTCTTTGCACTCTTCTTCAAAAACACTTATTTTTACATGATATATCCTTACATGAAATGCTAGTAGAAAAATAAAATTGGACTATAAATATATTAATGTATGGAGTGGATACAGAACTGCACTGCCCAGAGTGCCCTTTAAGGGAGGGCTTGATGCCTGCCTATCAGTAGACAGCTTCCAGGTATCAGTATTGCTGGGTCTGTCACCGCTGCAGAAAGCCACCTGGCCCTGGAGCACACCCTTCCCAGGACAGCCAATGAGTAATTGAGAAGGATGAAATTGGAGGTGTTAGGCCTTGGGTGGGGTGCGCAAAAGGCAGAAGATTTCAGCTCAGTGAAGAACAACTCACTGAACAACTCTGACAAGCTGTATAATTCTCCAGAGTGCTCCCATGGGGTTGGCTCTGCAACACAGTTCAGTTCCTCCCTCTGCCCAATCCTGCATCCTCCACATCCCTTGCACAGGTGTTGATCCCTAATACTTATCCATACATCAAACTCTGTTTCAGTTTCTGCTTCCTGACAGTCTCACCTGCAACAGTATATAACCTTCTGATTATCGTTTTTAGAAATTCAGGAAAAATCACCCTCTAACACATCTAAGAAAATGCACAGCTCTCAGGTGCTATCACAAACCACTGCCCAGTAGACAGCATGGTGCAGCTGAGCATGTGCTTACCTGGAGAGCACGAGCCCTGGGTTCTAGTCCTTTTCAACTGCTAACCAGTTGGATTGAACCTGGGCAAGTCACTGCCGCTCTCTAGGCCCCAATTTCTCCATCTATAAATTGAGGAAACTGCAGGAACTAACACGTATTACTACTCCCTTCCCACAGTCTTGGCTTTTTTCTCATCCCTTAGCCTGTATTGGGCTATTTAGGAGTTTCCTGACAGTGAAGAGCAAGTGAAGCCACCTTACCTTCAAGATGACCACCAGCAGGCCAGCGCTCACGAGCAGAGGGATGAGGCTGCTGATGAACCAGCTAAACCAGAGGATGCCGTTGTCCAGGCCCATGATCCGCATGGTCTCCTTCAGCCGTGCCTCCTTCTCATACACGATGCCCTTGATGATCACAGCCACAGAGTAAATCCAGGCCAGCGTCATGAAGAGAGGCATTGACCGGCTCATCACCCGCAGGAAGCTGGAGACCCCAAGGAAGGGCAGAGGTAGAAATAAACACACAGGTGAGCCAGGGTCATGGGCCAAGCTTCTGAGCCTGCATACCAGAGGGATATGGACCAGAGAAGGGCAAGCCCTCTGGACTCTGGAAGGTACAGATCACCAAATGCTTCATAAGCAAGGTAACATAGTGATCAAAACTAGGCTAACAAAGAGTAGCCAAGCAAAACTGAGGGCTTGACTAGCTAACTGTGAGCTGTTAAGAGAGGTTAATACTAAAAATGAAATTTTAAAAAAACCCAACTCATTCTCTCATGAAATTTCATCTCCAAGGTCATCCACTATCAACTTGCTGAGTGTAAATCTTATCATGATGCAGAAATACACTTCAGGCAGCTCTTGTCTGCAGTATTTCAGATCCCCAACTAGAATAGGAAATGCAGAGCTGCAAAGTAAATGGGACACAGAACTTGGACCCTGAAACTTGAGGTTCAAGTCACGTTTTACCACATAGGCATATACTAGCTATGTGACCACAGGCAAAGGCTCCTAATGCCTCTGAATTTCCATGGCTTTATCTTAAGACATCGTTTGTATAGTAAACTTTGGTTTAGGGGCCTTTGGAAATATCTTCCTTTGGAAAATTCCAGCTAATTATTTTGAAGGTGAAAAACAAGATAATTTCTAGAGGCCTAGAAAAGTTACAGATGACCCATATGAGGAAATAGTTTGTTCAATACAAAATATAGCAAATACAAGGACAGGAACTCTGCTCCTTCTGGAACCTGACCACACACATCCCACCACCAACAACAAAGAAGAAGAGAATTTTCAGAATTGGGAAGACACATCACATATTCAGATGTCTGCAATAACTACACCTCTTCCCATTCTCTCTTAGAAGAAATTATTACATCCAAAGACATAGTTTCCACAATAAGAACTTGGCAGCTAAGTGACTAAGTACTAGAAGATTCTCAGATAAAGAGACAACTGTGTTCCATTTTATTTGGATTGTTTTAAAATGAGGTTTACCTGTTAGGGGATGGAAGTGAATAAATTTACCCAAAATCTGCTTTTCCAAATTAAGACTGATATTTCTGCATTTAGAGGTATGTGTGTGTGTATGCCCTGGCACGTATTTGTCATGACACATTTTAAACTTGCAGACTGGGCAATTTTGACTAAAAGTAGTGTGTAAAACAATAAAAGCAGTAGTAACCATGGATGAAGAAAGAAGAAGATTACTACTGTGTGCACATGTATATCTGTATGTGTGATATGGTTTACATTATTGACTACCTAACACCTAGCATCTTACTTCTAGATCATTCACACACATTCTCTCTCTCTCTCTCTCTCTGTCTCTCTCTCTCTCTCTCTGTCTCTCTGTCTCTCTCTGTCTCTCTCTCTCTCTCTCTCTCTCCATCTGGCACAGTGTTAACTGGTTAAATAAAGATGGTGGTTTGCAGGTAACTTACATGTCATCAACATAACAGGGGTAGGGCATCTGTTGCATGTAGACACCAGTTTTCTTCTCGGTGCCTGTCAGCACCCTGATGATTGCCTGCTCCACTACATCCTGCAAGTAGGTGAAGCCACCCCAGACGTACCGCATATCCTCAAAGGGGTCAGCCCGAGGACCGGGGTCCCAGTACCTAAAACCAAACCACAGGTGATCAAATATTCCTTTAGATTCATACAATTAAAAAGCTACTATTTTTATTTCTGTATCTTTACTTTTGGTCTCAGTTGACATGTACACATATTTTCAAATAGGTATAATCAGAATGAGCATCCTACTTGGTTTGGTTTTTCTTCCCCCTCCATTTGCTACCTAACACTGCATCGAGTGGACACACCAAAATTTCCTTAGCCATTCCCTTTTTATTGATTGTTTGCCCTTTTTCATAAAAATGAACAACACTAGCACAGGAAACCTAAAGTCTTTTTTTTCTGTTGATTTAATTCCTTGGGATTCACTCCCTTTAGTGGAAATACTAAATCCAAAGATACTAATATTTTATTACCTTTGAAATAATACCTTCTAGTGATACATATACCAATTTCACTAAAATCATACCTCTAGTTTAAATTATTTTTGTGGACATTTCTTCCAAATTCTCAGTTAAAATAAAGTACCTCTAGTCATAATAGTTGCTCCCGACCTCCCCAAGACTGGGTTGGTGTGATAGATTCTACTTACGCATCCCTAATCTTATTTGTCCTCTCCACATTATCAATGTCCATTCGGATCTTGTACTTGACATGATGGGGCAGCTCTACACTGCCTGGACCAATTCCAGTGAACACAATACCAGCCCAGAACTTCCTCTCATTCAGCAGCTCCATGGACTTGTTGATGAGCCAGACTTCTGTGGCTATAGGTTCCAGCTTGTTCAGGTTGACACACTGGTGAAAGAACAGCCTTCATAAGAACACTGGCGGCCAGGACAACAAGCAGACAAATCCTACCCTAGGAAGGAAGTCCTAACTGAATGACTGTTTATCCCCACTCCCGAATTCTCTCTAAAGTAGTGTTCTGATCTTCAACAAATAATGACCATTTTGATTTTTAACTGAAATGTAAGAGAAATGCTAGAAGTATCTAGAGATAAATTACTTGTACTGATTTCTGCAGAGTGAAAGAGGTAGAAACAACCATTATACCTTATTGGTCTCTCTGTTTTCTTGGCAATTTTGAGTCATAGTAACTAACCAACCTACCCAACAGATCAAAAAACCTTTTATTAATCCCTAGTAAGTGATCAATTCTTTTTTTTTTTTTTGAGTTGTAGTCTCACTCTGTCACCCAGACTGGAGTGCAGTGGCCGCTCCCAGCCACCGCAGTCTCGACCTGCTGGGCTACGGATCCTTCTGCCTCAGCCTTCCAAGTAGCTGGAACTACAGGCGTGCGCTGCCACGCCTGGCTAATTTTTTTTTTATTTATTGTAGAGATGAGGTCTCACCAAGTTGCCCAGGCAGGTCTCGAACCTGCAGGCTCAGGCAATCCACTCACCTCAGCCTCCCAAAGGCACGGGATTACAGGTTGAGCCACCAAACCCGGTGCTGATTAATTCTTAAGACTAAAATTTTTAAATGTAATCTGTCCTGAATCTGATTTTAGATAAGTTTTATAAAATAACATTTTAAAGAAAATGTTTTGTTACCATTAGGCACTGGCTATCAAAACACAAGAAAACCTAAAAGAATATAAGTAGAAACACTCTCTTGAGTCAATATAAAATAAAACTAGAATTAGGTTTGTTAATTTACTCATTCAGTCATTTGAGTAACATTTATTGAAGGCCTTCTGTACACCAAACCCTGTGTTAGGTGTGAGGGATGCTGCAGTAAATGAGACTACACATTAATTCTAAACTCTCCTCCTGCCTGAACCTTATTGCAATGTCTCCGTAGTCTTCTCTAATTGATCCATGCAACAGATTCTCACCTCCATGAAGCGAGATATGGTCTGAATTGCCTGGTTGGTCTCATTGAAAGCTTCTCTCCAGGTGTACACGGAGCCATTAGCAGACTGGACATCCTCTGGGTGCTTGGCCAAAAATGCCACAATGTCTTGGGCTGTCCAATCTAAGCCATTCAACTGCTGTTCCCAAAAGTGGTCATTGCCTCTGCTATCCAACAGCGTCTGTCATTTCAACAAAAAAGTGCAAGTAGTAAATACAAACTAAATCTTGGTGAACTTTATATAATGTACAAAATGCTGCCACATCTTTTTTTTCTATCTTCACAGAAAATTGTGAGATAGACAACAGTGTCCCTATTTTACAGATGAGAAGACTAAGGTTTAAAAAAAAAAGGATGTTATTTTAACCAAGGCTCAGTCATAATATTAATAAATGTGGAGTTGAGACTCAAAGTCAGACCAATCTGAATTCAGAGTCTACATGCTTTCCACTGTATCAAACAACTCAATTCACAGTATTAACTGCTGTGATAACAATAGTAAGACTAATAGTGTATAGTTACTATGTTGAATAATTTATATGCTTTACCTCACACAACTCCATGAAGAGGGTACCTTTAATCATTACCATTTTACAGATGTGAAAACTGAAATTTAGAGGGGTAAAGTCTCTAATATAAGGTCACACAGCTAGTAAGTTACAAAGCCAGAATGGGAAACATAGGCCCTCTGATTCTAGTAAAACTCCCCATTGCATTATATTGCCTTCCTCTTTTGAGTCCAGATATTTATCTGGTAACCCCACATAAATATCCTATCTTTAGACTGAACCTACTTTAACTGCTTAGTTTAGGAAAATAATGCCTCTGGTTAAACCCAGTAAGGTACCATCTTTTCCAATTGCATAGGAGACCTACTTTCCACTTCTTGTTCCCTTTCTGCTTGGTTCCTCATGTGGGGCAACATGAAAGAGAAGGACAAATCAATCTGGTGCTCAACCAGCAGTTCCACAGGGGCCAAGGCGCAGGCACACACAGATGTGCAGCAAGAAAAACAGAGCAGCTGCAAACTCAGCAAAAAGAAGAAGCATCTGCAACTCCTGTCCTAACTTCAAGAGGGAAGTTGAAACCCTGGCTCTGCCAAGCTGGAATCTCCAAGGGTCTAAAAACTGCTGCTTCTTTACATCAGTCTTATTTTCACTAACATTATAAGGTTTTTCCCCCGGTAGCTTTGTACTTATTATTTTAATGGGAGCACAATGATTTTAGAGAGTATATATATACTATAATTTCATTAATTATTCCTGTACTGCTGAGCATTTAGTCTATTTCCAATTTCTCACAATAACAATTAATGGAGCAATAACATTTTCTCTCATTTAAAATTATTCCTGTAGGATACAGTCCTTGGGGGTGGGTAGAATGGAGGTACACAGAATGGCACATATTTTATGGTTCTTGACATTTTCATTCCAAATTGCCTTCCAGGAGAGAATAACAATTTATACCATTATCAGTAAGGTATGTACTTTTTGTGAACATAATAGATACAAAATTGCACCTAACAAAAGTTCACAGAGGCAAAAACCACTTTACTTGGAAATTTGAACTGAACAAGTAGTTAGGAGATGCGGCATTCAGGGTAAGGCCGGCCCTGCCCAGTATGGCTTCTGAGAGATATGGCCAAGGACAGTAAGACCAGAGAGATGTGCCCAATGAGATCACTGGCCACATAGCCCCTCTGGGTGCTTAAGAGGACCAGGAGACCTAAGACCATTCTAGGGGGTAGAGGCAGGAAGAAAGCAGGGCCTGGGGCTGAGGGGACAAGAATAGCTCAGAAAATAGAGCAAATCAGTGTCAGAAGTTTCCGTGACTCAACAGAGAGCGGTGCCTCTGGATACGTAAGGGCGAGGCAGAGCTAGATAAGAGCTACTCCAGCAGAAGCAGACCCCCTCAGCCATCACCACCTTGTGTACCAGATGCCAGGCTGCTGGGGGGCAAGTTAAATAATCAATTTAAGAGAGGAATAATCAATTTAAGAGAGGAATATAGTCAGAGGAGGCTCTTTTCTTCCACTCACAGGCTGATGACTCCCTAGTCTGCCTCCAGCCCTACCACCTTCCTGTTCCACAGACTCCAAGACCGCTGGCCTATTAGACACCCCTGCCATCCCCTTGGCTAGAAATCAAGAATCACCTTGATGCCCACCTCTGATTCACTGCTCCACAACCAAGCAGCCATCAGGCCCCACCTCTTGCATTATGTCTTGGCCACTTGAATAGTTTCCTCCCTGATCTCTGCCTCCACCCATCCATTATTCGTTCTTCTATCCAACTACCCTATCAGAGTAATGCATCTATATTTCCCCTTGCTAAGCAACCTTTCATGGTCTCCCAGAGATTAAAGTAAAGGTCATCAGCTCGACACACAAGTCCCTGCAAGGCATACCATACCTTTCTCTCCAGCCACAGTGCCCCCACTTTCAATCATACACCTTGGCTTCTCCCAGTTGGATTCCTAATGAATGACACAGTCATGTTTACAAGGGCCTTGTCCCCTGAACTGGGAGGGCAGTTGGAGTGTCCAAAGGCAAACTCTCAATTTAAGAGTAAGGAAGCAACTATTTGCCCACAAATTGAGCCTCAATGAGTCTCTACACAGGGTCCCTTATCATCCTCTGAGACCCAGGCAAGGAGAAAAAGTTCAGCTAGTAGAATATGGATTCCAAGGAGAAGACCTGGAAGAAAGGCCTGAGACCACGCTCAGGTCTAATGGGACTAGATCACAGGAATCCCATATAGAGGAGAGATCCACACTCGAAGGGCACGAGCTATTACTATTAGTCATACAAATTATGTGCATGCTTTTCTCACTAAAGAGAAAAACCCCACTTGAAGAATTCTGCATATATGTAACAGGACAAGCGCAACACAGGAGACTGTGGCTTTGCCAGTACCAGAGCCTTCTTCCTCGGTAACCTGCTTCCCAGGGGATCAAGAGACATTCCAACACTTCAGAAGAGTTCCCTCCAGGTAGGTACAGCTTTTAAAACCCAGTCAGCCCGCAGATCAAAGAGGTTCAAGACAGGAAACCTGGCAAAATCCTCTCCTACTTCTTACCAGCAGCAGAGACAAAAGTAAGAGGCCTCCCTCACCACAGAAATAGGAGAGAATCTAATGATTCTCTGACTCAGCCCAAGGTAGGGAATATATGATTAAACTGCACTCAGGCTCAGGCAGAGGAGACATTCTGTTCTTGCTCAGACTGCTCTGCATTTGAATCCCATTGTCTCTAGAGCACTCAGAAACATTAAGTGTAATTCCCTTCTCGCATTAACAGCAGCAGCTCAGCACTTCCAAGGTGCCCTGGGAACAAGTATCTCAGACCTGTCTGCATGTCAGAACATGCTTTTGCTCCCACACCTCCTTCCAAGGCCTTCTAAAACAAAGGGAGGCTAAAGAGATGCTGCGGCTGGCTCAGGAGCCAGAGCCAGAGATGAGAATAATTAGGGTCCTGCAATCACCTAACTCTAGTTCCAAACACCAGACCATACTAAATTTTGTAGAAAACTGATATCTGATGAGAGGCATTGATGATAACAACCACAGTGTTATCTCTGCACCATGACCTGTACTTCTGGAGAGGCAGCAACTATGCTCACTACATCTCAGTCAGTTACACTTAAGGAATTCTCATCTCAGTCACTTAAAGGAAAGTGACCAGGAGCTTCCCTCTCCACTATCAAGCAGGCAGAGCAACACTCACCCGAACAAGGTCCATCTCTTGGCTGTTCTCCATGAAGGTCCAGATCTTAGGGCTGAGTTCTTCCCACATGCCTTCCAGATCATGGAACACAGCCAGTTCCTGGAAGGTCTTGTTCACCTGGCATCAGGTGGGAAGCCAGGGGACACAGAGAAAGGAGGAGAGGCAGAGACAGTGAGCACTTCAACGCCTGCCTGAAAAGATACCCCATCACAGCAGCACCGGGCCGGTCCTGCCAGTCATCCCCAAGAAATGCCTGCCTGTAGCTATGATTCAAAGACCTAGGGGCGAGAGACTGGCCCTCAAGAGTCAGCTCTGGTCTGGATCAGACTTCAGGTTTTCACTCTTTGGGAATTCCAGAAAAGCCATGAGTGTATAACTCAACAAACTCCATCTGAAGTCACCTTTACTTTTTTGCTTCTAATTTTGGGAAGATTCTGGGGAGGAAGGCTTGGGCTGGGACAGCTTACCTCAGCCATAACCTGCCTTGTGGCTGGAGTGTCAGGTGTATACAGGATCTTCCCGACAAGCAGAGGCTTGAGAGCTTTCCAAATGATGCGGGACAGAGGACTAGACTCTAAATTCTTCATCAAGTCATTGCAGTAAGGAGCTACAAAGAAAAAAAAGACAAGTATTCATATGCGTGGCCATATACTGGTAGGACTCACAAGGGCTTTGGAGCTAGACAGACAGTCCTGGGTTCAAATCCCAGCTCTGCCACTTAACAGTCAAGTAACAAATTTCTTGTCTGAGCTTCCTTTTGTTCCTCTGTTAAGTTCATAACATCTGTTTGGCAGAGATGTGGAGAGAATTAACTTGGATGCTATCTATAAACCTCTAGAATGATGTTTGGTAAACAAGCGGAGCTTACAATACTGCTTATAAATAACTCTCACCTGAGCTGGTCTAGAAAAATGTTTTTTGTATGCACAAACCCTCATAACTTCAGATTCATACACTCATGGCACCCTCACCACTTTGTTTTCACTGAAAACCAACAGGTTCTTGAGCAGCAACCACAGAGCTGAATTCAGACTTTAGCTTTCAAGCAAAAACCGAAGTTCTCTCTTCAATAAAGAGGGAAAAATGCAAATCCAAAATGATAACAACGTAATAGGTTTGATTATCCAGAAGGATCACTGTTTTTTTTTTCAATTTCATTCTGCATTTTTCAAGTATTTTAGATGTCAAGTATCCTCTACATGGTGCAAAAATGACGTAATTTTTTTAAAAGAGGATTTGCTTTCAATTATATCTGTCATGCAAATGAGGCTCGCTTGGGTCAACTTGTAAGCTGGGGAAGAGAAGGAGATGGCAGTCATAAAGCTGCCTACATTGCCACCCTCTTCAGACTTGTAAAGCGACCTGTGAATGTCCAGAATGCTTTACTCCAGAGAAGAATAAAAGGTTCTTGTGTTACAGTAATATACAAAAGTTGCTTCACTCAGTGTCTGAAAGACACACCTGTGGTTGGAAATGAAGAAAGGCTCACCCGCATCATGTTTTCAAGGAAAAAGATGCCACTGTCTAAAACTAACACTGGATCCCGGCTGCCAGGGGCATAGGACACACATTCCCACAAAAAGCTTAAGCGTGAGGAGCGGATATGGAGTTATAAATTTCCTTAACACTTGCAGCTAAGAGTGAGAAACAAACAGCAGATCAAATGTCCAAGTGTGATGACACACACATGCTACCATTAACAGATATTTTAGAGGCAGTTTGGTTTACCAGAAAAAACAGAAATCCAGATGGATCTGGACTTAAGTTCTGGCTCTTGACGATTAATTATGTTGGGGCTTTGACCAAATCACTCAACCTCTCTGAGCCTATGAATATGGGATTATAGAATCTTCTTTGCAGTGTTATCATGAGGTTAAATGAGATGACTTAACTAGAATTATGGTACATAGGAAATTTTACCTAAATGTTAGCTTTTGTTGTTGTTATTACTATTATTATTTATTTTAAAGTTTTTATTATAAACCTTACTTCAATGGTAATGCTAATAATAACAATAACACAAAGACAACAATGTCATCCTTTTACAAAGTATTTTTCTAGCCTTACTGAGTTAAAATATTTTACTGACAAGTACAATTTTATCTATAAAGTATACAGTGTGATATTCTGATAGATGTACACACTGTAAAACGATCACCACAATCAAGCTGTTAATACATCTGTCACCTCTTGTAAGTTACCTTTATTGTTTGGTGAAAATACTTAAAATCTACTCTCTTTGCAAGTTTCAAGTATACTATCCGGAATTACTAACGACAGTCACCACGCTGTACATTAGATTGCCAGAACTTATTCATCATGAGTAACTGACATTTTGTGCCCTTTGACCAATATCTCCTTGTTCCCCCAGCCCTTGGTAACCTCCACTCCACTCCCTGCTCTTATGAGTTTGTTTAGATTCTGCATATAAATGATGCCATGCAGCATTCAGTATCCTGACAGTATCATGTCCTTAATTACTCTGGGGGCCAGCTTCCTACATTCCCCAGAAAACCAGGATACTGGCTTTCAATCATCCATTCAGTTGATAGACACCACTGTGCACCTGAGACGTGCCAGGTCACATTCAGCTGACAGTCAGCTGATTAAAGAAAAGCCTTTCTCCTCCAGGAGGAGCGCTGTCTAGCAGGCAAACAGGTATGCAGACGTCCAATGCTGCTACAGGAAGAAGAGGTGACACAGACCAAGTCCAGAAAGGCAGGGAAGGGGACAGGGTTGGGGTCTTCAGAGAGACTCACTTGTAGAGTTATCATAGAAGGTTTCAGCATCTTCCTCGGTGCCGTTGCCTCCAAAGAGGGCTTTGTAGTTGTTGTCCTCATACCAGTTGAGGGACTTGATCTTCAGCCCCCCACCCTCGGGATGGCCACAGACGATGCGAGACACAGCCTGGTATATTTGGGTGGAAGAGCCAGAGTTGTTCACGTTGGTCAGAAACATCACCTCCTGTCGCATGTCACTCCAGCTTGTTGTGCTGAACAGCTGGTGTCAGGGATGGGGAGAGAAGGAGAAGAAAGCGGGAGGGAGAAAAGGGCAGAGCAAGGGTTGGGGACAGAGAAGAGAAAGAAACATCTTATTTTCTGGATCTCCCAAAAACCACATCCCAGAACATATTTCGTCTGATGTCATCTCAAAGCGGATGGGCCTGCCAGAACCTGGCGACCCTATTCATGGTCCAGGGATCAGCAGCATCAGCATTTCTGGAGAGACTACTCCAAATGCAGATTCAGAGACCCCTTTGCAAACCTGCATTTTCACAAGATGCTCGGGTGATTCCTGTGCCCATTGAAGTTTAAGAAGTACAGCCTGGAAGTCAGTGGAGACCCTGAGGGTGGGCTTTGTTTCGCTGAGATTATCTTCTGGTGTAAAGAAGAGAATGCTTTCTCTGACTGTGGATGAGTCCATCAGGAACTGCTCCCAACTTTGATCACTGACATTTCTAAAACACCTCAAATCTCAGTGTGGAAATTTCTCCCCTTTGGGAAAAAAGGTACTGTGTGTAAAGTCCCTTATCCTGGTCTCAGTAAAGTGTCGGGTCATGAAAAAGCATGTGAGAGACCTGAGTGCGCTCCATCCCTCATTAGTCTACAGCCTTAGAAAAATCATGTCTTGTCTCTCACGGCCCAACTTCTCATCAAGACAATGAAGCTAAAACAGCACATGGTGAGGAGTGAACCACATGCTACACATGAGGGTCCCCTGTACAGAGCAGTCCCCAAGTGGTGAGTCAGAAGCCCCAGGCGACTGGAGGTGTGTCTGTGACTTCCACTCAATAGCGTCAGTGACAAGGACAGTGCTCTGTCTCACATACAGATGTACTCCAGCACCATGTGGAGTTCTTGGCCCAATTGCTATTATTAAGTATTTATAGAGCATTCTGTATTTCCACACATTTCACAATAAACCATTACTAAATCCCTACATTCCTTGAAATGTCATTGCATATTCTTACCCCCTGGGAAGACTGAGCCATGGAAAGTAGAGGGGAGGGGCTGTAGGGCCCTGCACACACCCTGGAAAACTCCATGTGCCCAGTTTTCTCCCTCACAGCCTGCAGGTTCCTGTGAGTAATGTGGTTCCCTTCTGCCTCCAGATGGGAACTAGGCTCTCCAGGGATGGTTCAGATGTCACAAAGATTTCTCTCTCCAGAGAGGGAGCATCTAGCAGGCTCTACAAGAACACAGTTGGGTGGACAGCTTTTCCTTACTTTGGGGTATATGGATGAACAGTGGACAGGTAGCTATACCACCTTTCCTTTTGGTGGTTAATAATACCAGCCCTAGAGATTTTTAAACGATAATGAGTAAAAGCCACTCACTTCTCTTTCCACAGACTCCCAATCAAAACCACAATTTTCTTCCCATGTGAAACAGCAAATCTTTGGACAGAAGGATCATACATTTCTGAGTTATTCCAAACTGTTGGCCTCAGCTCATGCTCCAGACTTTGTCTGAAGAGCTCCCTGACTCCCAAGAAGGGCCGGCCCTTCATCCTGCAGTCCATGAATGGTGGTGGAGATTGATAATCACTGTCAAGTGAACGAAGGGGTAACTGACTGACTGCTTTCTCAATCCACTGCAATGGTCTTCATCTTCCCTGGTCCCCACCCCAGTCTCTTCTCAATCCAACCACCAGGGTGTCATCAGTCTACAGATTCTGATCATATCATTCCCCCTCCGCTTCAAACTCTCCACTGGATTCCCTTCTCACCCAGTGAAATCCTAACTCTTGCCTGTAGGCACTCACCTCCTTCTCTAAGCTCATCTCTGCCCTCCTTTCACTTGCTCGCTTTCCCTGATCTTTAAACATGTTTCTTAAGCATGCCCTAGCATCAACACCTTTGTATCTGCTGTTCCTCCTACCTGGAGTACCCTTTCCTACACAGACATGCTGTCCTCTCCATCAAGCTCAATTGTCATCTTATCAGAGAGGGCTTCCCTAATCACCCCCCTTAAAATAGCACTTTATCACACTCTATGCCCCTTACCCTGCTTTTGTTTTTCTTCGTTGCACGTATCCTTTCTGTCAGACTATAAGCTGACCTATTTATTTCTGTCTCTCACTCCATGAGAGCCCCATGAGAACAGGGAAGTCAGTGTTTTCATTGCTGAGTTCCCATCCCAAAATCTAGCTACGCCAGGCACCTGGTCAGTATTAAATGGATATATCTGAGACTCTGCCTCCCTGTCCTGCCTTCCCAATTATCAGTTACACACCTACCTCATCACCCAGATGTGACACTCATGTCAACTTTCACTCCTCTTCCTCCTCAAGTCCCCATTTCTACCCAAATGTCATAAATGCATATTTCTTTTCTTTGATGGGTCTCCTATTCCAGGTACTATCACAGTTCATCATGAAGCAAGCTGGTGAGTCCAACAAGAACACAAGCTTTGGAGTCCAACAGTACAGGGCTCAACTCCCAGTTTTGTCAATGAAGTCACTGGATGACTATGGGCAAGTTGCTTAACTTTTCGGAGCCCTGGTGCCATTTGTGAAATGGGCACAATACAGTAAGACCCACTTCAGATGTGTCATGTGGATTATACAGAGAAATGGGGTGAAACTGCCTAAGCCAAAGCAGCTCCTCGGAAAATGTTGGCTCCCCTGTTCTTTTCCTTTCAAGAGTTGTGCTTTGATCAAAACAACCAACTTTCTTTCCAAACACTCACCAAACAAACAAGTGCATTTCTCTTCTCCCATTTATCTCACAGGAATAGCAAATGAAACAATAAGTAACTTGTGATCAAAGTGACTTGAAGGTGTTTTCTATTGAGAGAAGCAGGTGGTCCTTGCTTGTCCTGGACCAGGAGCAAGCAGGACACAGGCAGCAGATGCCCAGAAAAATGTATATTTTTTCGGTTGGAGAGGTTCCACCAAATCAGCAAAGGGAACAACACATGCTCTCAATTACTTTTTTAACTCAGACAAAAGGCAGGGCCAGTGATGTAAGAGAAAACAGCTGTAACCAAATCCTAAGTTTAGAGGCAGCCTCCCATTTACAGGTCCTGCTTTGCTTTCTCCAAGGCCAGAAATATATGAGGGGGAAGACAGTTGGGAGGGAACCTGATGGAGCAATACAGGACATGTCGATGTCGGCCAGACCCTAGAGAAATAGCTATGGACTTGCAGAAGTTTCCCTTTCTCCTTCTCCCCTTGGAAGAACCCTAGATGACCCAGCTTTTCCACCAAGCAAGAGGTCACCAGCCTTCATAACCAAGGTAACATATAGCAGTCTGAAAAAGGGCTTCTTCTCCTGAAAGGAGATCCAGAAGTCAAGTCTCTTCAAGTCAGAGACTTGTGAGCAGAATTAAAGAAAGAAAACAGCAGGACAGAAAGATACACTAAAACATCAACAGTGTTTAATCTTGATGTTTCTGCATTTACCAAACATTCTACATTTTCCACAATAAGCATGCAATAATTTTATTATGAGAAAACATAAAGTAAATTTTGATATTTAAAAATAAAATGCAAGTACCAAAAAAGGGCAAATTACCTATAAGCACCAAAAAAAAAAAGAGTTGAGAAGCAGCTGAAAATAAGGCTGGATCAAGTCTGAGAAAATTTCTCCCAAATGATTATCTTTCCAATATCCTGTATATTACGTACATTAAAGCCTGCATTGTTTGTGACCACCACCCCTGGCTCAGCTCCATACACATGGGGCTTCAGACAATTCCTCCAGCCCAAGTCTAATTTGAAACAAGGCTGGGAGTCAGAAAGGTGGAACACAGGCTGACTGGGAGTGACAGTAAAGGTTAACTGTTTTTGCAAGTGCCTACAGGCCCTCAGGTGCTAGGACAAAGATTACTCTGATATATTTGTTAGCATATGAACCTAAAAAAGCAAATTCAACTCAATATTCACTAAGAGACAATATTCCCAAAGTTGAACTTCATAGGCCAGATGTTTAGAAGCCAAAGAGCCGAATTAGGGGTACCATGTTATTACCTTTAGTTAGCAGACATTTGTTTTGCTAAAATCACTGTCTGGTCTAGCTATAAAAGAAGCAATATGGAGAAGCTAGTCAGGCAAAAGCAATGCATGGAAAGTAAGAGAGGGAATTCACCTCTTTACAAATGTGTCATTGCCTAGGGGCAGAGTTCTAAACTAGGTAACAGGTTTTCAGTCACTAATTAATTAGCTCAGAGATACCTATGAGTCTTAGTTTCTTCATCTCAAGTAAAGAGATCAAAACAGATTTCTTAAATCACATAGCCTTCTAACATTGATATTACATCTCAAATTATATTCAAATCAAAAGGAATCCCTGGCCAAACTCAGAAATGAAAAAAGGTGACACAATGGATGGCCCACTTTCTGGTTCTGGAAAAATACAACTTACCTCCTGGGCCAGAGTCCCAAGACTGTGTAGCAAAGTTTCTGTGGCCATAGTCAGCTCCTTGGTTGGGAAGGTAGATGTAGAGTTTAGTCCTGTCTGGAATGAGAAAAAATAATTTGTTTCTGAGTTCAAATGTGAATGTGAAATCTCTACTGAAAATGAGTAAGTTAATTAAAAACTGTTCACAACCTTGAGTTGAAAGAACAGGAAACCGACTCCTAACCAAAATAAAAGACACCACAACTCTTCTAACTTTGTGTTTTGGTTTCTTCATATAAGAATGACTGATTCCTCGATGGTTTTATGTGGTGTAGAAATATTATACTTAAAACTAGTTAAGATTACATCGATGTAAAAATATCTCATAAGGGGTGTCTGTGTATACAATACAACACTGACCACAAATTCCCAGACTTGTCTATGAGTCTGCAAGACAGCTACTACGGGAATGACCTTGAAAAGTTTTTAAAGGCTCATAAGAAAGGAAAATGTGAAGTTTAAAGCTGTCAAAAGTAGGGAAAGAAGGAATTCTTTCACTCTGTTCATATCTGCACTGTTTCTAACACTGGAAATTTAATGTGGAACACTTATTTTTATGTCTAGTCAAATCTTTATATATACTAATTCATATTTAGTTACAGTTATTTGTTACCTAACTATTAACATAGAAAATATAAGAAAATAGTTCATTAAAACCAGGAAAATATAAATTAGGGCAAAAAGGCTAAGATAAAGAAAAGAATAGGCTCAAAGGTCAGAATTGGCACAGCTGAGGAGCCTCAAATTTGATTGAGTATTCAGGCTTCCAAAGAGACATAAGGATCAGTTTAGCAAAAAAGTCATCAGGGAAAATCCCCATTTCCTTGGTGTTTCTATGGGCATTGTTTTATTCAATGTCATATCAGACACCTCTGAAGTCTAGAGAAGGCTAGGCTATTTTGACATTTGTCATATCAGAGAGAGCTGTGAAATTACAATGTAGACTACACAGAAAATGGTTGGAAGTGGATGAGACTCACTATCTCTGAGAAATAGCAGCCTGGAATGTTTTTTCTTAAAAAGAACTCCAAATGCAGAAGACTGAGTATCACCCTGATTATCATCACATGAGGGGAACCCCTAAAAAAACTAAAGTTATCTTGAGGGTGTGCCCCTTGTAGTAAAGTTTCCTCCTGCCAGGTAAGTGTTCCAGGAACCCATGGGCATCAGTGTACCAGTTAGTGTTGTTGTGAAAGGCTGTGTTCAGTATCAGTGAATTTTTTTTTTTTTTTTTGAAGATTCTTTCAATGTATTTGCCCATTTTATGATGGGTGATTTACAAGCAAACCTGCCCACACCACACTGAGGGTTTCGCCATTTTTGCCCCCAAAATGGCATGGCCTTAGTGCCCCACTCTCCCTATTCACTGGATCTTGCCCCAAGTGGAAAAAAAAAAAATGGCCCTCAAAGGGAAACATTTTGCCGATGTGGAAAAGGTGAAATTAAAAAATGGCAGAAGCACAAAAAAGGTATCAAAATTGATGAGTTAAAAAAAAAAAGTTTTGAGCAGTGGAAAAAGCATCTGGGTAGGTGTATGGCATCCAATGGGGAGTACTTTGAGGGTGAATAAAATTTAAACATGTAAGAACCAGTACACAATTTTTTAATAAATTCCAGGTTTTGTGGGGCACCCCTTATATCCAAGCATAATTCTAATGTGCATCTCTGAGAAAAATCTGCCTAAAGGTTCTATGAAAGAACGTGCACAGCCTGATTCATCAGTTCTTTTTGATTGACTTATGCATCAGAGGCCCAGTATGCCCACATACACAGTCCTCAGAGGGACTGATGCGGTCTCCCTTTAAGTGCTATATTCAAGGAGGTCTCTATGATATGACACACAGACTGTGCTAATGATTGTTCCTTCCACAGATAGTGATTCATAAGCAAAAACAGGTGGTGTGTTTTGTTTTTACTTTCTCTCTTTGGGCCACACTAGACGTCCAACCTAGACGTCCAACCTATAGAGAACTTGCAGTAAGGAAAACAATTACAAACTGAGGGGTCTTCATTGAAAGCTATAGGAGGTAAAGTGTTCTTGTGTTTATCATGAGGCCCACAAGATGATGATGTTCAGGACCTACAGCAAAACAAAACAAACCAGGACAAAGCAAAAAATGTCAAATTAACTTAATGTAAATTTTTCAAAACTTAAAATGTTAACCCATTTCTTTTATAAAGTTTGAATAGAAATAAGATTCTTAGCATTCTTGTCACTTATTCCCCAACCCTGACTCTACTCCCCACCCCCCCACACACATACAATTCTCTGGTCACGTGGACCTGGGATGGCTACAGAACCCTAGGCAAATGACTCAAATTCCCCATGCCCCCATTTTATCAATGTTACAGCAAAGTTTAAAATGCTGTGTACATATCAGAGTTTTCATGAGGGCACATATAAAGCCCCTTGCACAGTGCCTGGCACAGAGTAAATCCTCACAATTATCAACAATTTCATCCTCTACCTTTTTCTTCTCTTCCCCAAAAGTTTACTGCTAAAACTGGAGGGCTCTTGTCTACAAACAGGGTTTTCCAGTCAGTTCTTAAAAAGACATTTCTTGGCAGGTTCTCGAACTCTTTTCTCCTGTTGGGATCTCCTGTTCTCCCTCTGCTAGGTACAGAGCTAGAGTTATCACCACATATCACATCAGCCACACTTAAATGTGCTATTTCTAAAATTATAAATACTTCTCATTACAAGGTTAAGACATCTAATTCTTGAAGACTTGGGGTAAAATGCTTCTCTCTCCTATAACCCTTTTCTTTTACTCAGTGTTTGCCAAACTGCAAAACAAAAACAATGTTAAGTGGAAGAAATATATATTACATATTATGTATGTATATATATGTGTGTGTCTATGTATGTATATTTCTACATATATACACATATAAACTTATCTTGCACACATTAACTGGCCCCAAAGTTGACATTCAAATAGAAACACCCGAAGGAAAACTCACTACCTGTGACTATGTGTTTGTTTCTGTATGTGTATATATATGTGTGTATATATATGCACACACACGTATACACACACATCTTTATCTTAATGTATATTCACGTGCGCCTTCTATTTACAGCAGATCGTGTTGGTTCTACAGCAGTGATACAGCTTCGCTTCTAAACAAATTTATCCAAAGAAGTGAATTTATTAAAAGGAAATGCTAACTAAAAATGGCACTAGCTGTACTTGAATACAACCAAAATCACAGCAGAGTGTTGTGAAAGATCAGGTTTCACTAACACAGTGTGGCTTGTGGAGCTCCTGTTTCAGAACCACCTGTGGTGCTTGTTAAATATGCAGGTCTCAGCCACCTGAGACCTATTGAATCAGAAGCTAAGAGTGTGATCCAGGAATCCTCAGGAGATTCTTTTGCACACTGAGTTATATGTGAGGTTTGAGAACCACTGAACCAGCACATGAACAATGTTCACAAAGCCTCTCTTCACAGCATTCTTTGCACAAATGTGGTTGTTTGTGTATTCTGTGTCTGGTCCACACACCACCATCTGCTGCATACTGTGAAGCAGTAAACAGAGGCCACTCAGTCCACCTGACTAGAAACAGGATCCGAGATGATGCTAAACACATGTGGAGCCAGGGGTGTCACACCCATCGGGTACAGTCATTGCCAAAGGATGTTTCTAAAGACCCCAGACTCAACACTGGCCTGTTGGCACCATTACAAGTCATCTGTTCCCAGAAGAGTACAAATCAGTGAGCAATTCTGTTGTTCTTAGAATATGTCTTCTCAATCTGAATAAATTTACATCTTCATAGGCAGTAATTTTTCCTTCCAATTTTTTCAATGTAAATGTCCTAATTTGGGGACAAGCTTACTCTTCTTGTTTTAAAAGCTCCACAATTCAGCAAAACTTCATGCACACAGCAGAGCCTACTGCATGACTGTTTAACCCTTGAATGTAGTTGGCCATGGACATAAATATAAAGACCTTGTTAAACTTTCTGTGGGTATCAGACCTTTACATAAACAGATACCAATCTGATACCATATCTTATAATATTACTTTGTTAACAGTCTGTGTTTTGGTTTGCTTGCTTGTTTAATGGATAATGTACATGAGTGTTCTTTATGTTATTTTCTGTACCTTTTTGCATGTTTGAACTATTTTTTAAATGTTCTTTTTAATTCAGTTGGAGAAAGGACAGTTGAATAGAAACAAAGGAAGAGTAACGAGACTATGGTGGTTTGAGTATATGTCAGGTCTAGAAGACAGATAACTTCCTTGAATAAAATTAAGCCCAGGCAATAATTCATGCCTTGAAACTAGACCACAAAATGAAGTCAGAATCATGTGTTTGTGCCTATTCTTAACTGTGGTCTCCAGTTCATACTTACTTGACAAAAGCAGACAAATCTTGCCAAATTATCTTTCCAGAGAGCTTCAATAAACAATTCACAGCGTGGAATTCCTATTATTACTTTTCCTAACCAAAAACATTTTCTTGGCTATGAACTCATATAGGTCCCTAATATACACAGGAGGCAAATGATTTTCTTGTATAAAGTAAAGAAATGGGGGGTAAAAAAGAGGGAAAATAAAGCCTTTAGTGAGGGTCTGTACCTCCTCTGTTAAGCTAACAGGAATTCATGCATTATTCAGTAGTTGAGATCTTAACTAAATACCGTAATATCATTAGAGAAAGAAAATACAAATGCTTACTGTAATACTCAAAAGCTTCCACCAACTTGCTATGTGTTACTCACATCACAGCAATATTTCCGGAAAGCATGACACTCTGAGACACTGGCCTTGGAATGACAAAGGCCATCGTGCCTCATTCTTCCCAACTCTAACAGATGACTTCATTATAGTCTATTCTCACTAGCCTGATAGTTAAGTCATGAAAGATTGAAAAATGTTTTAAAAGGCAGTAACCTGGCAAAGTCATTTTGGCTTTAATTCTCGAGCTGGTGTTTTATTTCAACCCAGTGTCTATTACCATTCAACTCAACACCCAGTAAACATTTATAGAAAAAAAGCTAAAAGGAAGGGAGAAGCACCCAGTAAGGTAAGAGATGAATGACTA